CTGAAAGGTGCACTTGATAAGTTAGACAAGATTAAAGAGGAAATTTGGGAACGATTTGTGCCAGTGAGGACCAAGCGACTACTGCGCCCAGAAGATAAACGGCAAGAAGACGCGACTCAGGACGAATGTATGCGTGTACAACAACCTCGACAACCTCGCTGCAAAGCCTCTAAATCGATCCAGTTTCCAGATACAGGACCAGGTAACGCTAATTTAGTAGCTTGTGTCACTTCTCTTGGCGAAACCTATCAAGATATAGAACAGTCTTTACCTCTAAGTACTAATCCATCGACCCAGCGTTTATCGGATGCTGCTACGCCTATATATCCCGTTCCTACCTCCTTGCCTGCACCTCTCACTAGTTCTTCTCCCGTTGTTCCTACCGCAAAATCAGCCAGTTCAGGATGTGTGAAGATAACCGTCAACTATCCCTCTAGAACTGTGAGTAAAACTTTAGATGATACATACGATACACTGGGGAAAGCGTTACTATATGGACCTCCATCGAGAGTTGCTACGGCAGTTATGAAATGCGACCCGGTCCGCAAAGTAGTTATTCAGAAAGTCCTTGGCATCGTTTCAAAAGAAGTTGGCGATTTGTGTTCTAGAAAGAAACCATCAATGTTAAGAAAAACTGGAAAGGATGACCTGATGAAATTCAGTCTGGAGCAGTTATGTGATGAATGGGAAAAAAGGGCACCTATCTTTTATTTATTTCTCGTTGCTTCCTCCGTTACAAAGACTACAAAAAATAAGTCTTGGCTTCCAAGTGTCGCCGTTTCTGGCTCTGTACTACTGAAACAAAGAAATGGTGAGATGAGCGCGACCGCCTATGTGTTGGGTATCCTTCTCAAATCTCGCTCGACTGAGGTTAGTGTCAATACATCCTAAATAGTATAGTGATTTAATTTTAGTTTTCATCTTAGGTTTTACAAAAAAATATGCTGTAAAGCAAAAGTGCTCGTGGGTTTTATGAGTTCTTTGACTTTTATGGTTTCAAAAGTGATCGGGTTTTATGCGCATCGCTTTTAAAATTCACGTCAAACGTTGCTATTTTTAAGCAGCAAATGTTTAATATTTAATTTCGTGTTAATTTGCATGCAGTAATTTGAAATTGACAACTTGTCGATTTCAAAATAGTTGTTCACAAATTTATATATTAATTCAGTTCCCATGTGTATAAAAAACCTACTTAAAATATATATTAAATTTAAATGTTTTTTGCATGGGCTGTATACCTTATACTATATAAAATATTCGTAGAATTTTTATTTAGGCCTCTTAGTAATTACTGTTCATTTGACGTGATGGATCACATAATAAATTATTTTACATTTAATCAACACAATATTTAAAATCATGCAAGTTAAGAAAGATATTCACAGTAGAAGGATATTAGGAATGTGCGGATGTGGAATGTGAATATATTATACTAATGTTCTAGATGCATTTAAATTTTTAGATGCATTTGCTACAATATACAAAAGTATATTTTAATATCGATCGCATGTCATATATAGCTGCTAGCAATTGACAATTGTGTATATTTAATACCAGAAATGCCGTTTAATTTGCTTTTTGAAGATGTTATAGGGGTTTATTTCATCAAGTTTTGTTTCTAACGAATTCAATATATCAATTACGCATTTTATATTTGAGAGCTACAGAGTACAGTAGTGTGTTTTACATAATTTGTCCTTTTATAATAACATTTGTGAAGTTTCGATGCATTTCTCGTTTTTAATATGATCATGAATTGGGTTGTTTGTTACAATATTGGTATCGAAGCATAAATAAGACAGTTAAATAGTCATTGGTTTACACATTTTGTTTAATGTGCATTCTATTTATGTCATTTATAACATAGATTAATTTTCTGAAATATATCTGGGCAAATTACAAGACTCTTAAAAAATGTGATCTGTAGACTGTTGTTGTACAGTGCAACGGCCCAACTGACGCAAATAAACGCCCTATAAATATTAATATACACATTACACAAAGCAGGAATAAAAAAAAGAAGTTTCCATATTTATCTTATCAGTGTTAATGTTAGTAACCCATTAAGTTAAAGGTGCCCTACAGTCTGTATCGGTATGTAAACAAAGCCTTTGTTTACATTTTTGTGTCCAAAATATTGAGCTTTATTCGACAACTATTTATATTTTCAAGCTTATAGAATATAATAAATGATCAAGAAACAACAATCAGGCATTGCAAGAACCCAAAACATAGTTGAAGTGTTTGTATCATAAAAAGTGGGCTCCTTTGTGCACATGCGCAGATCGGACTGTAGGGCACCTTTAAGCGCCAGCGTTCTCCCCTTGAGGAGTAAAATCATCTGGCGTTAGAGACAGAGTAAAATAATAAAGTAGGATGCATCAGGGTGCAATGTGACTCAATGGGTTATTGGGTCGTTCCGGAAAAGATCCATTAATAATAAAATTCTGATGTCCGGTCCAAAATGGTTCAATTGCATGAGCATTTAGAATACAGATCAGAAGTGGATAATTTTATAAACTTGTCCAACAGACTCTATATAGTATAGAATATACCTATTCTAACTCGTGAAATACAGTATCTTCTTACAAATAAAATTGTATTTTTTTATGTTTCATTTATAAATTATATAAAGGCAAACATGGCAAGACTCGCAAAGTTAAAGCTGACTTGTTCAAACAGAGCAATACTGGCCAAACTTGAAGAACTTGGCGAGGACCATGACATTAAACTGAAGAAAGCTAAGGAAACAATAACACATGGAAACAAAACTATGCAAGCAAAGGTTCGTACCTTGGAAGTTCTTAAATCCAATAATAACGCTAATGCAACATGCGATACAAGTTCTGAAAGTATCCTGAGATTAAAAAATGAAATTGGGGACCTAAAGAAGTCATTCCACCCTGGATTTGTCATTGCATTTGACAACATTGACATTCAGTGTAAAAGAAAGAACATGACATTATCTGCACAAAACAGGGACTTTCACTGGGTTAACCACAAGATGGTGATTAACCGTATATCTGATGGTGAACTTGAAGCGGATGGGCCAAAGGCTGATTTGCTAAAAGTTCCAAATTTGAGGTTCATTCCAAGTATCACAGACCATCAGCAACAGAGGGACAACTATGTGGTGCTTGTATCTCGCATACTGGTCGATTACTTTGATGCATTTGGACCCCTTAAGGATATTTGTATTAAACATATTCCCCACAAGTATCATAAGGAAATGTCACAAAAGTCAGAGAAGGTACGTTTAATTGTGATAATTTAATTGTTTTAAATTGTACCAAAATTATACAAGGAATTTCTCAATATATATTAGTAATGGTGTGGCATGGAGGTTATTAGTGACCAAGATGTATCAAGTGCAAAGCTGGAGGAAATTTAAGTACTTAACCTCCTGCTGCTTGAGCGACATTAATGTTGCCATATTATCACTTGGATTGTAATGGTTACCACGACAATAGGAGAAAATAGAAATGCCTCTAGCTGGCAAATATTATGAATTCGAATATAATATATATATATATATATATATATATATATATATATATATATATATATATATATATAGAGAAAGAGAGAGAGAGAGATTAGGTTATTTAATAGGGCTTAGTTACCACCATGAAATAAATTATTTATAGGTAGCTGTGATACTGATATTCCTTCCTGATGCCCAATCAAGTATAAGTGTTTTGTTACTAATATGTTTCTTTGTCTAACATGTAGGTGCCCCTTGGAGTAATATTCAAGAATGAAAATGTAAATGAGGATATGTTGCATATACTTAAGCAGTTCCATTCCTACCTTCCGAGAACTAGCAATGATGGTTATGACAGTCAACTGTTCGCAGGAGATCAACTGACCGTTGAAAGGGCTATTAATGTCCAGGCATCAGTAGCTAATGGTTATACTCAAGAAGATAGGCTAGAGGGCATTAACCTACAAATTGGTGATTGGCATGCTTCTGTTAAGTTATTAACTGTAAGTGTGATTTTCAAAAACACTAAGTTATTGAATAGAAAATAGTAGGGAACAGAAAATTACTATTTGCCAGAAGTAACTGAATTAGTAATTAGTATAATCTTACTATTGCAAATGATCTAATTTGATTGGTTACTCTATGTGACTACAAAAACATATAAATTATGAGTTAAAACAAACAACTGTGTTACTGCAACAACGGGATGAACTAGTTATTGCATAGAAAGGGAGAGTTATACATGCAGAAAGCTTTTATCTGAATTCATCATTGAAGGAAAGAATTAGATAATATTGTGTATTTGTGAAGTGTTCAAAATGCCAATTTCACAATGGGAAAGAGAGTTCAAAGTACAGGAAAAAGAAATTTGTTTTTTAATCTTTTTAAATTTTGGACATCTAGATTGCCCCCCCCCCCCGGCTCAGACATCCTTTGTGAATAGCCCCTTAAAAAACAGGCTTCTGGCTGTAAATTATTGAATTATTTTGTAGAATATTTTATGTTCGATATCGGATTCTACAAAAACAATTAGATTACTTGCTCTCAATTTCTAAGAGGTGATAGTTGATTCGGGCTTTGCCCTATCACCTCATAGAAATCTTGAGCTCGTAATATATTTGTTCAATAGAATTTTTCAACCATGATGTCCTTTGTAGTCTTTCAGTCAGATACTACATGAAATTTAAAATTAAATTGAAAAGTTTAAAAAACTAAGATTTCCTGGTTATGTTACTATGTCAGTGACCTAAATTCGCCTCCTACCAATATTTTGCAAAGTGTCCACCACTTTAACATAAGTTACTAATTTAGTTTATTCCACCAAAGTTAACTGTTACAATAATTTTATGCTTTTAGTTGATTTACAACAAATTCTTCAGTGCTAAGTCAGATGGAGAAAGTTGCACCATTTATTCTGACCGCACTCTTATTAATCGGCGTAATGTCACTGGTGACCCCAAAGCTACATATCGACCCAACAGGGATTTCCTTCGTATTATTATTGAATCGAGGGTAATTGTAGCAGCCTCAAAAGTTCTGGGTTTTGAGAGCAAATCAGGAATGCCAACCAAGTTTCCTATACCTCCAAACTTGGATACAGCAACAAAAATACAAAAGCTCAAGTATCTGATGGAAGCTTCAGCAAAGATTGTAGATGCATACATTTTTGAAGATAGCAGTGTAAATCAGATTGTTGATGATGTACTAACAGTACAAGAAAGAGAAAATTTGGTGAATACACAACAACTGACAAAGGATGGAAGATTTCCCTGTAGATTTCAAGGATGCACCAAATCATTTAGGTACAATGGAAAGAGTAGAAGGAGTCACGAGATGACACACGATCCTCCTCCAGATATTCCAGATCAGCTATCTGTATCAAGTTGTTCCAATTCAAGACCAACCATAGAAAAAGTAGAAGTGAAAGATGATGTATTTAATTACAACTGTGGACTATTAACTGATGGTTTTCTCTTCTTCAACTTCCTTGATGCAATAAGTGAGGGTGATGGAATGAGAATCATGAGACAGTATAAATACATAATGCTATACTGCAAGGCAGATGAATCACATAGCACAAAGTATGCTCTGGAGTGTTTGTACCAGTTTTTCCTTGTATATGCAGTATTATCACCCAGAGACAGTGAACGCTTTATTTGGAACAGATCGGTCAGCAATACTTGCCAAAAAGGTTCAAATATACCTTTGGATCTTGACGTTGAGCATAGTAACAATTTTATCAAACAGGGTATTAAAAATCTTGGCCCTAATGTTACTGAACATGCTATTTCACGTATCAGTCGTGCTGAGACTGCAACAACAAACATTCTTGATAATTTGGATGAAAATATTCAAAGGGTTTCAAGATCAGGCAGACACACCCAAAGCTCTGATGACAAAGACCTACAACAGCTTGTGAAGAAAGCATTGGAAGTAGACATATTCACAGAGCATGCACAGCGATCATACAAACAATTTGCTGACATCAAAAGAGACAGACTTGAAAATTTTGATACATCCAATTTGTTCAAATGGATAAACACACATAAGAACAACCTTGTTCGTGGCATAAGAGCTAGATAAAGGTTAGTATTGCTTACTGTTACACATAAGTATTATCTGTGGTATTATTAGGGATCCCAATCCAACTATAAATAGAATTGGTCAGAAATTGTAACTGTTCGTTTCCAAACTGTGCGTGCCAGTGTGGGTAGAGACAAAAGCAGGTGGGCAATTCGCTCAAAACATTAAGTTCCTGTTATATTTTCCATGTACCTGTATCACCCACAAAACATGCTGCGTAACCAATGGCACAACAATTAATGTAGCTGAAGAAACAAAAGAACTAGACATTTTGAGTTCTTTGTATTTTTCAGGTTGTTGTATCACCTACATAGACACCTGCTTGTTAGCGTCGCTACCTACTCTGGCACACACCGATTGAGATTTTATATACACAAACCCATTTTATATATTGTCAAGTACATCAGCAAGTAAGCTCATATCTAAAGAGGCACCTGATAAGTTAGCACTTTGTTCTGTGAAAGATTCATCCAATTGTGACACTGATAAGTTTTCAACTGCCATAGCAAAAAGTTCATCATCTTCAATTATAGTTTCCCAATCCTCAAGCAACCCTGTGTCATCAATTTCATATTCAGCATTTGCAACATTGCAAGTGTTGTCCTGTACATCTTTAAAGATTTCCTTAATTATTGACAGTATTTTATGGGCATGCATCATGTCCCATATCTCAACAAACTTGCAAATATCCAATAATGAAAATAAATTACGTAAGTTCTCCAACACCTGCTGTATTTGTAGCTCTGAGAACCCAAGAACTAATGAAATGCCAGTTAGAGTTTTTAATTCTGTTTTGGCAGAAGTGCTCACCAAATTTGAAATCAACATCTTATGATATGTGGTCAACTTTTCAAGCACAGCTTCCCTCTGTTCATTGGTAACACCTCTTGACCTCAACTTACTTTCTGGTTCTTTTCTCGGTACCTTTGATGGATACATAGTAAGTGTGCCACAGTCGGATGATCCACATTCACATTTTGAAGCACAATAGTCACAACACAAGTGAAGTACAGGATGAGGGGATGCATCTTCGTCAAAATGCTTGAGGATAGTTGTTCTACGGCACATATCATTCCTAACATAAGACTTCACGTCCCATTCTACATGATTTAGAAGAATCCCATTGTATAACAAATATGCTACAGCCTGGGATCCACTTCTTCCAGCACGTCCTGTTTCTTGAGCATAACTTTCAATATTTTTTGCAGGCCCAAAATGGATAACTCTGCTGACTGCTTGACAATTCACACCCATACCAAAGGCTATAGTTGCAATTAAGACACGAATAACTCCACATTCTTCACTAAAAGACTTGATAATACTTTCTTTGTTAGCTGATGGAGTACATGAATGTAACATTTCAATAAGACAATTATTAGTACATCCATTGCCGATACGCATATCATTCCCAAGCGCAGCTTTCAATGTTGCATACAATAATCCACACTGTTTTATTGTCTGACAATAGATGATAGTTCGGTCACAATGTTCTTTCTTCTCCCTCAATTCTTCAACAAGCCAGCTAAAATAATGTTCTAGATCTTCATCCCTGGACATATACTCGACCACATATGCTATGTTATCCTTGTTTGGGCTCTCAAATATCACACAGGGGTTGTCCATCAATAAAACAGCAAAGATTGTGTCTCTTGTAGATTTAGTGGCAGTAGCAGTCAGGGCAATCATGTGCACTGAAGGTGCCAAAGATCTAAATTCATGTAGGCGGGAGTAACAATCCCTAAATGCCACCAACTTGTTGTTTGTTGATGTACCCCTAAACAAAATTCAAATAAGCAGGTATATAATTATAATGAAACAGCAAAAAGTTATGTACTTGTTTTAAACATTATAAAACCATTATAGTACAACCTGCAATAACTTGGATTAAGGCATTACACACTTGTATTTTAAATCTGATAAAATGCTCTTTTAAATCAGATAGAATGCTTCTTAAATAAACAATACCAATTATAGTTACTTTTTTGAGTATGGTATTTATAAGCACACTAATACCATAACATATAGAGAAATTATTGATTCCAGTCCCCCATGGCCTCAGCCATCTACCTCTGATTTCAAGGACATTTTATGCACCAGTTAATGTCAATCCCCAGCCCTCCCCCAACTGGAGAGTAACAAAATACAATAACAAAAACAAATTTGATTTAATTTCTATTGCTGATCTATGAAATATACAAAACTATTTTACATGGGTTGAGAGACATGTGTGGACATTGATTAATTACCCTTTCCCCAAGGGCGGGGACAATTTCGCTCTTTACTACCTACCCCTCTAAGTCAAAAGAGGAGGGGTTTACATGGACTGGTGCATAATTAACTTGATATTGCTTGTATAGTATAGATTTTTACAATATTCATTTTTATCACGTTTTCAACATTACCTTTTCTACAAATATAAATCATACTACTACATTACTGTACCATAAATATATATAAACATAATAATTCTTCATTCATTTAAGCCCTGTTTAAACGGATCCAATATTGTTTGGCCAACATTATCCAACATTGTTGAAATAATGGCCTAAACGGCTTCTTTTTCAAATATTTTTGTCAAGACTAGGTTTAGAGTTTGAGTAAAGCTTATCTAACCAAAAAGATTTGAAAGAGAAGCAGTCATATATATTATAGTCACATTGTTGGATGATGTTGGTCCAACAATGTTGGATCCGTTTAAACAGGCCTTTATATATTTGTATAATGTATATAATATTATATAGTGTTATTGATCGCCATCAATATAATTTGTGTAGTATATACAAAATATATTAATTTGAGTTATTTGACACCATATAAAATAGTGTTAGCACTTACCACTGTTTAATCACATGTGCTTCGTCAATTGCCAACGCACATAGTTTGGATGAATACTTTTGATTAGTTAGCATGTCGCGCCAACGCTGATTTAAGAGCCATGCCTCTGGTGTTCCGTAAACTACTGAAAAGCATCCACGTTCAACCTGCCGCCGTTCTTCTTCACTTTCAACGTCGCTTATGCTCACAGCCTTTATGCCTAATTCCTTGAGGCTCTTGACCTGCTCTGCGATAAGGTTAAGCAACGGAGAAACAACAACGACAATATTCCCTTGTTCGTGGAACAGGCGATCACATATGAGGGGTAAAGCTTGAAATATGATAGATTTACCGAAGCCTGTTGGCAGGTTCACAAACACATCTCTTTTTTTTTCAAGTATTGTCCGAATCGCATTCTTCTGATGATCGTTAAAATTTGTAATATGAAATATTTGAGCGACTTCACTAAACGCTTGATCATATGACGCCATCTTTGTTTCGGAATTAGTAAATTTTTGCGCGAACGAGTTCCTGATTTTGGTACTCAGGCTGTGATTGGTCAAACAATCGGAATGGAATGTGTTGCTGCAGTAAGCAGCCTGTACGTGGGGAGAAAACCTCGGACCCGCGAACAGGCTGCGGAGGAGACTATTGTCAGAAAAGCTACCACAAAACTTTATTACAGAGAAGCAGTGTTTCCACTCCCAAAAAAATTATTTCCTTCTCCATAACCCGAAATTTCCTTTTTTTCTTTTTTTTTCCACAAAATTTCCTTCCAAAAATCTCTAAATATCCTTCCATTTTTTCTTCAAAATTTTTATCAAAATTGACTGATTTACCCACAGGGGGCCCCACCATGAGTTATGATTGAAATAATATTGTATTTATTTTTAAAAACCTACTTGAATCCCTTGATAATCGATTATTTCTTCTCTCGAAATTCTGTAAACATTTTAAACTGCTTGAATCATTATACCACTGAGCTGTATAATAACTGGAGGACTTGCTCCTATACTTCGTTCAGTCAACGAAGTGTCCGCAAAAACATGGCGGATTTTGAGTGAAAATGACGCCATTTCCATGACTACTGGTCCCTAAATTCATGGTAATTGCCACTGAACAAGGCTCAAATATGAGCCCGCCACAGTTTTCACACCCCCCTGGTTTTTATAAAAATATTTCGGCTTTTTGCAGTGAATACTTGTTGTTTTGATATTTTCGACATATTTTTTCGACTGTTGACCATTTGTTCAAAGGTGTGGAAGACGTACACGTTCATTGTCCTCCGTGGAGCGTGAAAGACAACAAACAACTATTAAAACCTCGCGAAAGCCGAAATGTGGACAAAAACGATACTTCAAGCAAGAGCAAAACATCCGTATTTATCAGACTATAAACAGGTATTTATAAATATTTCAAAATTCACATTACTATTTTAAATATTTCATGAAAAAATGTTAGGAATAAATGGTAGAATGTACTCTATTTTTTAGAAAACAAGCCACGAGTATTTATGTGGTTGACTGGTTGTAGACGAACCTTTTTTATAACTTTAAAATCTAATAATTTCATCCCTCAATCCCAATGAATTAATGCTTGTGCATGTATGTGAATTTGACAAATATTTGACATGAAACTATGATGTGCTAGTATATTAAAGAGAGAAGTAAAGTTTTATATATAGATTTAGCCAAGGTTGGGTTTTGTCATGCATAAGCTTGTGGTGAACTGGTGCAGGTGAACTCGTGCTGCTCAGCTGATTTGAGAAATTAATGCATGTTTTGCCCAAGTTTGTATATTGTGTGCTCTCTGATAGTTTGTTGTATGTATCTTTAAAAGGCCATCCATTAACTTGTTTGTCCCATCCCTATGAGTATTGAGTTAATTGACTCAAGTGCCGGCATATTTTTGGTAAGGGTTGTTAATGTGACAGCTAGGCCAGTAAGCAAGACCTCACTGTGTGGTTATTTTTACAGTGGAAATTCCTTTCAAATTGTATAGACAACCTGACTGGCTCAGTTTTCAGATCTCACTTGAACAAGGCAAGCTCTCAGTTACACCAGGAAGGCGAGAACACTAACTGGACTGACTTGTTCAAAATAAAGTCAAAACAACATCGGTCATGGAAATATTGTCAAAACAATAGAATTGTGTCGGCAAAGAAATAATAAATTATTCTCCAACCTCGTTCCCAGGGCTTTTCCCTTTTTGTCATTGGGAAGGCGGGAAAAGGCCCTGGCACCGGCCGGTCACATGACTTTCAACACCCAGATATAGTGGGTGTAATAAATTATAATAATAATGAATTAGAAAATCCAAGATGGCCGCCAACCTAAGAGTGCCCACAAAATTTAAGTGCTTAGAGCGGCTTAAAAATGCGTTTAGTCTTTGAAATTTTTCCTTCTTTTTGCTACCGACGTACTCGAAATCAGATTCTTCAGCTTTTATTACATGGGAACTATGTAGTTGCTGTTCTTCCAACTGGGTTTGGTAAATATCGTTCGCTAAACAAAATTAACAGATGTTCTCCAGCTGGGCAGGCTTGCCTATAAAGAGGACACGGAAAGTGTTTTGAACTGGGGATGTTAAACTTGGTTTTACCCTTCCAAAGACTCTGCTGTGCGACGATTGGAGCGAGTTTATGAGGAATATTTTATACAGTGATTCAAAGAAATGTTTTTGCATATACTGTATATGTTATTGATCTATTGTTGAATGTCACTTATATTATAAAGTGCCAATGGTTGGAATATTTATTCATTGATATTTTAAACACAGATGAGTGTTATATGCTCTTTCCTTGTTTACGTTTTCCTTGCAGCCAAATGTTGAAGCTGGCAAGCTGCAAAACTGACATATGAGTGATATGACCCAAATATTGGATATATGCATCTTAGTTTGCTTCCAGTAAAATGTAAACAAGACCTTAAGAATTCTATACGAGATAAGAAATATTCCGTTTAAAATCATGACTGGCAAATTAGCATGTGCGAATTGATGCTTCCTAATAATAGTATGTACTCCAGTCTCCAGTAAAGCTTGCTTCACACCCCTTACAAAAAAAGTCTATAGGCTTGGCCTATAGGCCAACCTATAGGTTCCTATAGGAAACCTATAGGTTTTTATAGGCAATTGGAACATTTTCTATAGGTGACCTATAGGGATGCCTATAATCCTATAGAGCTCTATAGGGAATTGGCTTCTATAGGGAATTGGAACATTTCCTATAGGCCACCTATAGACTTTTTTCATAAGGGTGCTTCAATTCTTGCTGTTACCATCTGCACATTATCAGGGTGGAGAGTTGATTTGAATTTTTTGTCCCAGGGGATAAAGGTAGGGAATAGATTTTCCATCACAAAAGGGGCAAGGTGCCCAACCAGTTAGAAGATGGCATGTACTTTAAGTGACCATTCATTATACCCTAGGGTGGGGTGGGAGATTCTTATGTCAAAATGTCATGGGACCCCTTTTTAATCTCTTAATTTAATAATGGAGACCCCTCCTAAATATTTAAGACTATATAACATGATGAAATTCTAATCTTCATTCATGTGAATGCCTGACTATGAAGAAAATACATTTTGCAACACAGGGATGGATCCAGCATGATCTGGTAGGGGGGGGGTGCTCTGCCAGCTCTGGTGCCGAGTTGTGTCGGTCATATGTGCCGCCTGCCCATCAACTTGCTTCACTATTGTAATTGTTGTTCACAGCTCGCTTATCATCATGTTATTACTCAAATTACTGTATCTCATTTTGCCTGTAATAATTTTTTGCTTTATCATGAAAAATATAACCCCCCTGCACCCACTCTGGCCAGGGCTAGGGGAGTGCACAGCCCCCCACCCCCCACCCCCCCCGCAGTAAATCCATCCCTGTTGCAACATACACTACAAGAGCTAGAATGATTGCTTCCTTTGGATGATTTGTCTTAGAATTATATTACCTACTGTATATTACAACAATTCTTCCTATTCTGAAACCAGTTGCTATTCTGTTTTTTACAACACTCACCCCCTCCCCCCCAAAAAAGAAAAACTCAACAAATCAAGGACCCCCTCCAAGGCAATTTTGCCAGCAAAATAGATTAAATTTGATGGTAATTGTTCTGAGAATATATTAACTCATTGAGTGGCAGCATTCTGCCTAGACTTGCCACAAGTCGACCTCAAACGAAACGCAAGCAGCGAGTGTGAGCCAACGTTTCGTTCGAGGTCGACTTGTGGCAAGTATACATTCTGCCCTTGAGTAAAATTGTCTGGCACCAGACGGAATAATATACTAAAGTAGGGACATTGCCACTATAAAGGGTTAAACAAATTTTTAAAAATTTTGCAATGCTCTATATTCAAAAAGCTCAATTTGTAAATTTTAATTGACTTTAATTAAATTAATATAACTACTTATACTTATAGCTACCTTGCCCCAGTCACTTCAAGTGAACTCTACGGGAGGAGGGGGACATTGAAAATCCCTGGGTTTACTTGGTAAAAGCAAGAATTGAACCATGTACATGTATATGGAGAGCAGTTTTAAATATATTTTATCATGCAAATACCTTGATAATTGTTCTTACACGTCTTTGGCTTAGAATGGGTACACCCTCCAAAGGTGCTTATTTACAGGGTCCAAAGGTGTAAATATACACTGTCCAAGGTGTTAATATAAGCAACAAAAACAATGTATATAATTAAATTTTATTAAATAAAATGTGGAATATTTTACAAATTGCATTACCATCCCAAAGTGTACATAATTTATCAATATAATTAGGACTTAGAAGCTGTTCACATGAGTTTGACTCTGACCCAGCACCCTTGGCTTAGCTCCCCTTGCCCGATCACAAGTAGAAAACCTCCAACCCCCTCTGACAAATCAGTCCAGATCTGCCCAAGAGGCAGGATTTTCTGGAATATTATTAGCAGTGAAATTGTTGCATATTTTCAAGCATGCATTGTAACCTGATTTTAAAGCCTGTTTGAACATCAGACATTGTGGCAATGGCAAGATGGTTCAGCCACATGAATACAATCTTAAAATATCATAAAAACAATGCAATTTAAGGCCAGACAGCCCAACTCCTGCGAACAGC